TAGTATTTTTTGTTTGCACTCGATGCGTATTTCGTTAACTAAGTAGTTCTACATTCCTCTCACATCCACGAATTCGAATATTACTCAAGGGTTGGAACGATGCTACCTAGTACGATGCTCACCTTTTCCAATAGTCCATTACAATCATTTGTTTTGAATACCAACCTGAATACCAAACATCTAGTGCGGGCGAGTTTTAATCATTTATTCTTATTCACTTCTAATCACCGTTCGTTTGGAACGTTATTGTTCAAAAACTGCTCATCAAAAACTAATGAAAAAGGTATCATTGGCAAGAGAATTGAATGCCCTTCAAAATGATGTGCCACTTGACCCCCCTTTCCATTTGAAATTCTGAGGGTAACATCCACCCCTCCTAGGGGGTTGAACCCCGAGGGTTGAAAATATTCATTCAGAGTGTCCCCCTTGCAAATAAAGTTGACCTGTCTGACCATTTTTTCATATTATGTACTGGAAGGGAGATATTGAGGGTGGGAAGTTTTCAAATTGACACACTGTATTTATTATCACAGTCCTCACAGCTCATTCCATACATCCCCAACTTTTTATTTTCCAACATCTTTTTTTATAGTTACCTAACATTCGTTAAATGAGCAAGAAGTTTTGGAGACCCTTTATATAAAGCCTTCAAGATGATAGCACGACCAGCTGTCGAAAGCGCTCGCATATAATTAAATAGGAGTTATAAAGCTTCAAATCCTTTTTGCGACATATATCAATATCCAACAACTGTTTGGAATCAAGCTTCGAAGGGTGAATAAACGCCTTGGAGTGAGCCAATCCTGGAAGGTTCTGCCAGAAGTCCATAACTCTTCTTGCCATCCAGGTGTTAAGTGTTTGTTTGGCAAAGCCCAAAGCGATGCCAATGACAGGTTCTGGTCCAATGAAGCCGCGTGCAGCACCCTCCTTTGCAAGAGAGTCAGCAGCTTCATTGCCTTCCAGGCCAGTATGGCCAGGAATCTAGGCCAGAGACAATCTGTTCAGTCTTCCTATCGAGAAGAGTCTTTTTTGGCAGTTAGCTACCAATTTAAACGTTGCTCGGCGGGAGCCAAGAGCTTCCAACGCCGCTTGACTGTCCGAGAATATTTTTATTGACTTGTGAGTGAGGTTGGATTTATCCAATCTCTCCGCACACAATTCAATGGCGTAAATTTCCGCTTGAAATACAGTCGCATAAGTTCCTAGGCAGGTAGATAACTCTGTCCTGGGTCTGCGATTGAAAACACCTGCACCAGAACCGGAAGGTGTTTTTGATTCATCTGCTCTTGTTATTTCCTTCTCCCGCAGGATCCAGTCCTCACTACTCGGGAATAGTACTTAATAAGGCAGTTCGTAGTTGACAGTTGGAGGCATAAAGTCAGAGGTCGTTTCCAGAATGCTGTGACTTCCAATGTCAACCAACAGTCTGTTGCACTCTGCATTGAATTGATTTGTGCAATTGGCAATATGCACAAGTCTATATGCAATCCATCTAGCCCCTCTTTCCAGAAAAATGTGGAGAGGAGGTAGATCTAGAAGGATCTCCATGGCGGTGTGGTACTGATGGCAACAATTATAGCCAGACAAGCCTGTCTCTGTAAGCCAGAGAGCTTCGCTTGGGCCGTTTTCTGAAAAGCCTTCGGCCACCAAGCAATTGCACCATACGTGATCATTGGTCTGACAATCATCACATAAATCCAATGGATTTGTTTGGGACCTAAACCCCAAGGTTTACCACAAATCCTTCGACATGTCCATAGCAGAACGTGTACTCTTATAACACAAGTTATTCCAATATTTCGATTTCGAGTTTATTATCATTATCAAGGAAGAGCTACAAAAAAATGTGGTGCAATAATATAAATTTTGTTACAAAAAAAGGCTCAACTTACTGTTGGTGAGGATGGCCGTGTCAAAAAAAAAGGTTACATTCAAATAGTTGAAACATGTCAATAAAATAAAACAAGTTACCAGATTAAAAGAAAGTTTTGACTCCTCACTGATAATAATGATAATAAACTTTATCAAAATTTGAATAACTTGTGTTATAAGAGTATACTTCCGTTTTGCTGATCACCCAAAGATAGTTCCTAAGTTTTGTTTCTAACTAGTCAGGACAACCAATGTTATATTTTTTTAAATGGAACACCCAGTATATGAATACGTAATTCTGTTTAAAAAAATATGTTTTTCCGTTAATCAGCTCCAGCTTAATCGATTCCATATTTTTTTAGCTCTCTAAGGAATTTTTGTTTTCGAATTTCCATTGCGGCATTGTCAAGTTATTCCAGAGAAACCTATTTTGCAGACAATATGTTCTTTTTAAATCACCACCCTCATGTCTACAGCAATTGAGTGGATTTTTTTTAGGAATAATTGGTCAACATCACTATGATAATTTCGGGTATCTCAACTTTCGGAAACAATATATGGTATAATTTGTAAAATATCAGTTTTTCGTATAGTATACCTGTGATAAAAATGTAGTGAAATGTTGAAACATTTCATACAAATGAAAAAATACAGGGTGTTCCATTCGAAAAAGTTGAATTATGTCTGTTTGAAAATGAATGAAACTTGACCGGTTTTACCGAGCGCCTTATATTGTTGACTAACTATTCCTAAAAAAATCCACTTGATTGCTGTTGACATGCAGGTGGTGAATTAAAAAAAATATTGTTTGCAAAATAGGTTTTTCTGGAATAACTTGACAATGCCGCAATGGAAATTCGAAAACAAAAATTCCTTAGAGAGCTAAAAAAATATGGAATCGAATTACGTATTCATATACTGGGTGTTCCATTTAACGCACGGCTGAATCACCCAGTAAGCAACAAAATAATTTCAAAAGATAGTATTTATCGATATGACTGCGAAAAAAAATGAGCAATTCGAAAAATTGTTTTCCCTGATAGCAATGGACCAAGGGAATCTTGTTGAGTCGACTGTAGGTTCACGGGCTCTGTGACGCTTGGGAGTAAGCTTAGACTGATCACTGATGATGTTTGCCACAGTAGCAGACGAAACGTTTGGTACTTTAGGTTCAATACGACCATTGCCTTCCAACCAGGATTTTGTTACCTTTAATAATTCTTGTTTGCATTATGATTTATAAATAATGAGAGAACATTGCGGAGCCTGCTGATGAGACTCAAACCATAATCCATTACTTGAAGAAATCAGTAATCAGTTGGACAAACTCTCACATAATGGTTTACAGCATTGCCAAATGTTTTTTTACAATATTTATTATAATTATTTTCAGATAAGAAATTAACCAAAAATAGCTATTCAATATTATCTTCCGATTTTAATAAAGAGGTTGTCCTAATTTTCAAAGTTCTGCGAATTCTTAAGACTCAGGATACTGCCACCATAATACTTATATTGTCATGAATTGGCGGCACAACGATGTTGTTCGAATTTCTCACACGAACTTTTTGAAGTGCAATCAGTTGAATAATACATAATAACTTTCTAGAGAAACTATACCCGAGTATCATTTAATTAATATACCTCGATTATAAGCGCCTTTCAACCCAATTGACACGATTGTGTCAGTTCTAAATAAAAATTTTATATGCCGAATCAAACTTCTATTTTGCTGGAAGATACATATCACCAGGAAATTTCAAATAATTTAAATAATTCGATACCTAAAATCTTCACGAATTTCATAGCCTACTGACTAATAAGAAAATAATCTATAAGTATTTTAAGTTTTCATTCAATTCATTGTATAGTGGTAGGCTTATTCAAATCATAATTTATAATTATGGCTCTTATTTCACTTATTCATTGCCATTTCTAACCTCTTCCTTGACAGAACTAATCAGTATATGCTGCTGAATGAATTGTATTATCATAACAATCTCAACACCATCCAAACTTATACGAGTCAAGCAATTGAATGATGCTAAAATATCCCAGTGAATTGTACAGCATTTTTAGGGTTGTGAAGTCTTTTTGACTGCATTCCTAAAATCTTCACTCAATAATGAAATTTTTGTTTCAGATGTCCCCGCTAGTGGCATGTATTTTCTTACGTATGAGGTAATTAAAGGTTACATGACGAATAATGGGGAAGATACTCCTGGTATTTTAGGGACAATTCTAGCTGGAGGATCTGCTGGAATAGCAAACTGGTTCATTGGCATGCCCCCTGATGTATTGAAAAGTCGACTTCAAACAGGTTAGTTGAATGACTATCAATTTTTTTTAACTAATCAGAAATTGTAGAGGAGCTACATTGAAGTTGATGAATGAATAGACGTGTTATTTCAGAACATATATTTGTAGCAAGTTCAAATTTTGAATTTTGTTTTAATCAATGTATACAATCGTCCAAATACAGAAAAATCGGAATGTTCACAATTAAATGAATGTTCACATGGATAATAAAATCTATACAGACATCCGACTTTGCGATTATTTTGAAAAAAGAGGCAGGAAAGTTCATAATGATTCTTTCTTTCCTAGTGCAAATCTCAGAATCTGTAAAAAATGCAGAAAATGGTAACTACAAATGATTTTAAATGAATGTGTGATTATTTGATTGGAGAAAAACGTAAGTCCATAGAGCTGCAGCGTTTTTTGGAGACTTGGGAGAAATTGACAAGTCAGACGTCTCCCAAGCAGTAGAAAAAAAATCGGAGCTCTTTAGATAGTTTCTGATCAGTTGGTTGAAATGATGCGACTAATTTGTTTTATCGTTCTGAATTATTTGTAGTATCTATATTTTGATGATATATTTACATTTTTATATTTCAGCTCCAGAAGGCACCTACAAAAATGGTATTAGAGATGTGTTCAAGCACTTAATGAAAAACGAAGGACCTCTGGCTCTCTATAAAGGAATAACTCCTGTTCTTTTGCGTGCCTTTCCAGCAAATGCAGCCTGCTTCGTAGGCTTTGAATTATGTAAGCAGTTTTTAGACTTCTTGTTTCCAAAAGAGAAGAAGTACATTTAATTAACGGTTTATTGAAAGCTGCTTCATTGAACCTGTCGTTATTGGAATAGTTACTAGTACCATATCAAAACGGAACACTTCAGTGAAAGGTTCTAGCAGTATATCAATTTTCAAGGCAAGTTTGAAAGCTTACCCCATCCAAAATAGTGATCTATTGAATATAAAATTCAGTATTTTTGATATTCTCACTTTTGCTGTTGAAGAAATTAGCAAAACTGTTCCGAAGTGGTAATTTCATCAACATTTTGAACATATATTCCCAGTTTGTTTGGAAATATAAAATAAACACACAAATAATAATCAAATTACACAAATCTGGAAGATATTACCTATACTCATGAAGACTGCAAGAATTACAATATTGTTGATATTTACTTCTATAGTGGAAATTTGTCATTTCGATGTTTAGGCAAATGATATATCTGAACCACTTCAGTCATTACGTATTGCTCAGTATTGCAGATGTTGTATTCCTGAAAAGTTCTTTATGTTCTGTTAAGTATTTGCCTCTTGAGTATTTGCATCATTGTTAGATAACAAATAAAATTTTGAATACGTTTGCTTTAGTTTTATTTGAGAAGATGAAAATCAATAAATCCGTATTAAAAAACAATCGCAAATTGTCTTCAGTAGCACACTATTCGGTCATTTTCTTTTGTTTATAAAACTTTTATTAATGAGTGAATGGAAGAGCCTTGGTATACATTGAAAAAAAAGAAAACATTACTAGTTGGACAGATTTTTGAATGTGTGTTTTCATAAGGTATGTTCCAAACACAAGGAGGTTATAAAGGGCGCCATTTTTTATAATATTTATATGACATGGGTTCCAACTCCTCACTGGTTTTCAGTAGGTTAAATTAGGTCTAAAGTGAGTGGGTCTATTCGACCCTCCACCGCAACCAGCAAGGGTTTATTGTGGCTCACACCTATTCATACTCGACCAAATAAACCCAGCTTCTTAACGAAGCCGATTAGTTTGTATGGTGAGTGGTCTTTCAGGTCAGATGGTAAGAGTACGGCTCTGCCGAACTCTAAGAACCTGATTCGGTCCCCAGCGGGGCAGGCACAAAGTATGTGCTCTGCTGTTTCATCATTTTCCCAACAGAAGCGACATACACACTGTCTTCCGACAGTCAGAGTCTGCATATAATGATTCAAATGACAGTGACCTGTAAGAAGGTCTGTTAGGTTATCAGCAATATTTATATTTGTGATGTTTTCAAAAAACCATGTTTCTGTTACCTAAGTACAATTTTATTGTTTTTCTCTAGGTAAGTAGCAGGATCATTGGTCTTTAATTTGCTGTATATTTGTGAAAATTGCAGTAAATATGGTAGGAATCAACCTTTTTTGCATTTTTGTTCTTTGAAAAGTTGCAATAGTTTCAAATTTGTGTAACTCAACAAAGTGTAACTACAAAGTCAACAAAGATATCTCATTTGGTAAAAATACAACATTTTGTGCTGATCGAAACAAGGTCTCATCTGTGTTGAAGATAACAAGTGAGTCAGCTTTTTTAAGATAATGTGCTTTCATTACTAATGTGAAAATAAAATTGTAATCAAATATTTCGGCTCACATTGGCCAATAATTGTCTGAAATTGTTTCAGTCTCATAATATGTTTGAACTTGTACAGACTTGATTCCTGTCTGCCTGTTACGAGCTGCAAAAACATGTGGAGCCCTGTTATTAGCAACTTAAGACTAATAAAGTCACGAGTTTCACCTATGAGCAGCATAAAAGTGGTAATAAAAGTGAAAGATTGTGAGTAATCAGCTAAGTCATTGTCTTATCTTAGGGAAGCACATAATTTCATTGATTTCAGAAGTACATTTATGCTTACAAAAATATGCTGTACACATCGAAGAGATATAAAGAAATTCATTTTATTTATGGCTTATGCAAGGGGAATGCCTGAGTAGCAGTAAGGGTGAGTGGAATAAAGACATTTATCCTGACCATCAGATCTCACTTGATAAGAGCATGCACAAAGCCAAGGTTGCAAGAAGTTCACACAGTTACTTCACTCTTTCCATATACAGCATGTACAAGCTCTTCTACAACAAGAGTAGAGATATCACAAATTACACCGTTGGCAGTAGAAAACCCCCGAATAGTAAGGAACGATTTCTTTGAACACCTGTTTGGCTTTAATTCATGGGCCAGTATAATAAATTGAACATTAACTGGCCCAACTGAGCTACCTGGAAGATTAGACGTAACTGAGGATGATGACCTTTGCAAAGACACTATCTGGAGATCAACAAGACTCGATCCTTGGAATATCAAAGAAAAACGGGGCTTTCCAAACCGGTCAATTGCAGACAAGCATTCTGTTTGTGATCAAACACCAAACAGTGCTGTTGAGACCCGTCGTAGGTCTCCTAAATCGACAGAAGACTCAATCCACAAGTATCACAGATGAACGAGGCGGTCAGTTGCAATACCAATCTTTGACATCGACCGCCGAGTTAGATTAGTCCTCTGTCTTTCACTGCACGGCAATTGAATAAAACCAGAGCTCAAAAACAGCATCATACGGTGCTGTATCGACCCGTCCCTTTCATTTTTTATATTCGTGGATTTTCTTTTGTCGATCCCATAGATGACAACTCCACTTACTCAGACTTATCCTTTGAGGACAGTTGACTCCAGCAATGCATTTGTGGTCAGCCTAGCACCACTGATGAGACCTATGGAGGATCGAAACAGCCCTGTCTGGTGTTGAATCGTAAATGCATTGTCTCTGGACTCTACAACTACTTGCCTTACAATGAAAGACAGAGGACGTATCTCGTATGCGATGGATGTCAAAGCTTGACTTTGGAACTGACCGCCTTAAAGAGCTTTATTTATGTTTGATATTCAAGGATGGAGTTCTCTGTCGATCTCATAGATAGTGTTTTCGTAAGAGGAGATGTCTTTGGCCTTACTCAAATGTTTTTCAATGAAAAAAGTATTTCTTTATTCTGCAATATTTCTCGCTAACTTTACAGAGGTAATTTATTTCATATTAGTTGGGTTTCTGTATCTTGAACCTTTCACTTTCTCTAAAATTATATCAAACAACATATTTAACTGTTCTGAAATGTATGTTCCATTGAGAATTTCATCAATGTAGAATTTGACAGAATCCCTGCACTATCAGTGCGACACGAAAGTAACACCAGTTTTACCAATGAAAAAACCTGTTATAGTTACATATGAACAACCTTAGTTATTATGGTAACATCATGCTGGAAAGTATACTTTATCTTCCGAACCAAAAAAAATTTTAATGTTTTGAATGTAATTTTTTGTTTTACATAATGTTTTATGAATAATAAAATTAAAAGAATAATAAACCCATAATATTTCATAAAAAAACTTCCTTTTTTCAAAATAAATCACAGATAAATCTTGTGACAAGTTTTCATATCATATAAGTTGTAAAACATAATACATTGATGGGTTTGGTAGCATTCAAAGTTTTTCTTTCTTAGCATGTGAATGAAAGTTTTGGAAAATGTTTTTTCGGTTTTTTTTTAATCATTACTGGACGCATTCATTCAGTGCGTCATGATTACATGGTCGGTCTTTACATTAGTTCGAGCACCACAAAACTATCCCCATCCTTTGCCCAGTTATAACCCCTTGAACTTTCTTTTGATATCCATACCATGTGGGTGCAAGAAAAACGAAGTCCACCATCTTTAGAAATCCGCTATATTCGATTTAGAGTGACGTCATTTCATATTTCCTTCAGCAAACCTTTTCATTTTATACTCATATTGTGGGAATACATAAAAGTAACTAGTCCCCATAATTGAAAAGTGATTATTTTTTAAAGAAATCAGTTTTTTTTTGAAAAAACTTTTCAGCTTTCTACTTCTCTGTCAATAACAAAAATGAGGAAACTTCCAAAGAACGTAGATAGCTGAAAAGCTACCTCTCCATTTTTTACAAAAAATGTGGAAAACTTCCTCTCCTGAAAAATATTTCCATTTCAATGTATTCTTTAGAGTTGTTTAAAATATTCAAAAAACACCTTATTGTGAGATTATCACTAAATAGTTTTTCAAAAACGGAACACGTGTTTTGCTATACAACAGCTTCTTCAGGCGTGTCTATAGCGAGTATAGACACACCCTCAGTATAGCCTATACTGAAGAAGCTATTGTATAGCGAAACACGTGTTCCTTTTTGCCAAACTTTTTGTGAACCCCTGGAACCCTTCGCGTTAAATGAATCTATTGGAAAACATTTTTCCCCACACCAGAACAAAAATATTAATTATTATTACACTGACCCATTACTTGATGAAAATGACTAACACTAAAGCAATTTTCACACTTCTAACCAAGTTAGCATCAAGAGATGACTAGGAGTCTTAATTATCTCTTGATGATGCTTACTTGGTTAGTGAAGAGCATGTCAAGAGAAAGGAATTTTGTTCTGGTGTGGAAAAGGTGTTTTCAATAGATTCATTTTACGCCAGGGGTTCCAATTCTACTCGTACAAAAATGAAAGTTTTCTTTTTTTTAGATTGTTGACAACTGTTCATTCGCATTGAATAAGTTTTAACATGTATAAAAGGACTTGTTTGTACTTCTGATGATGCCAACCTCTTGTGGTAGTGAAATATTGAGGGACTTCATGATGACCAAAAGTTACAAAAAGAAAAAATACAATAGAACCACTGTGAAAACATCACTATGAACGAATATCTTCTTGCAGGCAGTAAACATGTTCATAACAATTGATATCTTGCATTTACAGATCGATACAAAGTCTGTTTAATGAATTTGAAATGAAAATAATACAAAGACAATATCAAATCAAATGGTTCACTGAGAATTTATTAATATAAATATACAATACAAACAAATAATATTTTTCCATTATCAGAAATATGTCTGAAAATACTAGTATAATTATATTTGCTCAACAGGCTTTGGGCTTCAAAAGTCCCAACTATAAGGCATAGAACGAAAGAAAAGATACCGGTACCATTGTTTACAACAGAAAAATGGCAGGACTACACTTCTTTATTCATAGACTTTCACATTTCCCTTGAGCAAAGAAAGATGACATTGAGGAAAATATCAAGGGTTGCTGCCGGAAGCAAGAGTAATCTTTGAAAATAAGTTAATTATAGGACGTAAATTTAGAATCTTCTGAATCCTTAACTATTAAAAAAGATAGGTCAAAGTTCGTCATTGCTTACGAACCAAGATTCACTAATAGATTGGACAAATTTCCAAACTAGATATAAAAGTAGCTTTCAGAACTATTTGTTCACTTTAACAAGGGTTAGAGAACCCTGAAGGCCAGTTGCTGGAAACTAGACCAGTTGCTGAAAGCTAAATAATTCAGAACTTATTAAAAATGCTGGGAGACGAAAAATGTGTTGTGAAAGACTAGTACTTGTGATGCACTGTTTGGAACCTTTGGTGTAGTAATGAATATTACTGGAGTTTTTTCCCAACACCAAACCATTTAACCCCTAGACACGTGTTTCGATCACAAAGTGATCATCTTCATGAGGAAGATTAAACTGTTTAAGAGGAAGAGGAAGATAAAACTGTTTAATCTTCCTCTCGAAGATGATCAGTTGGTGATCGAAACACGTGTCGAGGTGTTGAAATAATAGTTTGGTGTTGAGAAAAAACTCCAGTAATATTTAAAGGCCAGTAGCCAACACTAGTCTTTTTCATGATTTCAAAATAATTGAAATAGCAAAGAGTGGCTACAGAACTATGTACGGAACTATTTCCTTCAAATTTGTGGGAAGATTCCTGGGAAATTTCCTGCTAATTTGCAAATGTAATTTTAGATGCTTGAGTGAAAGTAAAACTTTGTTCTGTTTTACATAAATAGGTTGTGAGTGCTTAGAAACTACCTTAGATTCTTTCGTAATAACATCAACTTGGTTGATGTGAGTTGAAAAGAGTGTTATAGTTCTATTTTGTGGGAGAAGTGTTTTTTTATTAGGAAATTGAACCACACAACCCAAATAGCCAAACAAAGCATCCCCAAATGAGATTACTTAATGAAAAAGCCACAAAAAGAAATCAGTAGTAAAATTTACTCACTCAGGTACCATGTACTTCAGTAAATTGTGTAGAGTCCTCTCCTGATTAGTAGTTGAGAATAAAAGCAAGCATTTCGCTTCATCATTTGGTTCCTTGTATGCGGTGAGGACCCTCTCAATATCGTCTTTAATTGGATTGCAATAAAACGTTGCCATTTTGATATTTTCAATTTTTGGAAGAAATAAACCATCTAATATTGAAGCTAGTCCTATATCTCTAAACTCCGTGCTCTTACGATCAAAGAACGAAACCACTCTCGGACAAGAGATTGCACAATAGTCTACGTTTTTCGGAATCAACTCATCTTCTAGATATTCTACAACTGAAACTAATGTTTTCAAAATTATGAGATGTTTTTCAATTGTGGGATAATATTTCACACTGCAAGTAACTGAGGGTTGATAAAAAACCAAAATAACAATATACCAGTAGCCATATTGACATTTTTTAATGGAAGTTTGAAGAGTTATTTTAAAACACTAGGTTGCATTCAAGATTATACAGTTCAGACGGAAAATGACTCAATAAGAAGCAAATGCGTCATAAAAAATCAAAGATCTATCACAAGGATAATTTGCCTATGAATTGTGGTACCTTGAAATTTAGTTTGCTGCTTAGATCAGGACAGTCGATAAAATTATGAACCAGTTTATGGAGGCATGAAATAGACGCTAAATATCTTCTAAACTCCAAGCTTTCAAAGTTGAAACTTCGGTCAGTGTAAATTTGGTTGAATAATGGGATAACAGTACTTAATTTAGACACCATCATATCACATTCCCCATAGAGTATACCATTCCTCTACTTTGATAAAAATGAGCAGAAACGAAACGAAAATGCTGTTGAAGCAGTATTTTTTTCTTCACATATTGAGTGAGTAACAGATAATCACATAAGACACATGGTTCCAGTACAATTTTCCCATGCTGGTCCTCCTTAGAATTATTATATGCAGGCTAAAGTTAATACTTTATTTTGGAGAAAAAAAAACATGTTGTGTGAAGAGAAGTCCAAAATATTTTGAGCCATATTAATTATTATATTCTTACCTGACGTTCTATCTAATTCGGTTATATCAGAATGGATACATATATATTTGTTCAGCTTCATTCTCCTGAATTCATATAAAATTATTCCCAGGCCAACATTGTTATAATTCAGGTTAGGGCTGTAGTAGTCTTGATGAAAGCTTGGTATTGAATGTGTTTTGTAGCACGTGAACCAACTGGGCCTCATTCTCCTTCTCAAAACTGTTTCCGCTGTTTCATTCCAAGACTGTTTCACTTGAGAACATGTTTTCAATTCATTATAGTTCAAGTAGCTGAAAACAATTTCTAAAAGTGGATAGATGGACTCCAGAGAAGAAAATAAATTAAAATCATCAGTTGGGGGTATTCTCGTAACTGGAATGTTTTGTTTGATGCTTGTAACACAAAATCCTTCATGGCCTGTGCCCTAAAAAAAATCAAATTAATGAATGGCAACAATAAAAATTCTTTCATTTCGATAGAGTTTGTTTTACAAAAGCCCCCCCATTTATATGTTATAATTACCTGTCTGTCAACATTGAAACTTTCATAAAAAAGCATTTTTACAAGAATTTACAATTCACAGTAAAAATTTATCAACTATAAAGTTTGAAAGAGACTTTTAACAATTTTGAAATTCAAAATTTCAAATTTGACAAATGATGACTTTTGTTTGATAGGGTGTATGAGTTGAAGTTGTCAGCAGTTTTAATCATTCAATTATTGAAATTCCTTCCTGGAATGTTAATATGTAGTATTCTAAAACATTATAAGTTCAAACTGAAAAGTTGTATGAATTCAATAAAGGTTTTGGCTTTCTACTTCTCCATCTTTATACAAAAAATGTAGAAAACTCCCAAAGGAAAAAAGAAAGCAATTAATTTCAAAATACACTCTTCACAAAGATGCATAGAAATAACTTTCAGTTACAAACTGGAAGAACTTCTATGCATGATCCACACATAATTATAAAAAGTGTATTTTGAAATTAATTGTTTTCTTTCTTCCTTTGGGAGTTTTCCATATTTTTTGAATAAATATGGAGAAGTAGAAAGCCAAAACCTTTTTTCCCAAAAACTAATCTCACCTAAAATATAGCCCTTTCAGTTTAACCATAAAGGTGTTTCAACTCCAATTTGAAAATATATAATTATAAACAAAACAATGTGATGCAAACCTTTATCTTATCTCCTTTTTTTTAAATATATGAATCAAGTCTTTTTTTAGGTAACCTCGTATTTACCGAAATTCATTATAGGACAAAAATGTGTACACGTAAAAGTTATATGGTTACAACAACAATCCAAATATTCAATCATATTTTACTAGTCTACAGAAATTTGCAATTCGTATTTATAAACACTACATTCAGTAAACTCTGAGAACAACTTTCTTTAGGACAATATAATCAGTAATGTAGTAATCTGTAAAGTAATAAAGTATTCTGTAATCTGTGGCTGACCTTGCTGCTTTGTTCACGAAACACGTTCTTTTCTACATATTTGCGTTTTGTGATTCATCCCCCCAGGGATGATTATGGATGAAGGATTTGCCAAGGCGTAAGGGTTGAGAGTGAAAAGTCAGACAAAGAAAGGTACCCCTGCGACACCGGGGGTCAGAATAAGTCCGCGATAATCCTTGCCTATTATAAGAGGCAACTAAGAATAAGGCTTAGTCCAGTGTTGTTATGCGACCTGTGCCAAACGATGAATGGTATTAGGGCCTAATCACATATCGGTAACGGAGCCTCTAGGATAAAGGCGACAACGACGGAGCCCCTTGCATCTATGCAAAGGGCTCCATGGTTGTGGACAATACTTTCACCCACACTCGTGGGATTCATATGGAACGAAATAAAAACAAAAATGAGGAGAGTTCTTCGAGTGGCTCCTCGCAAAACATAACTGACCTGGAGACTCAAATGGATCAGCAAAATCAAACACGAACGGCGGATGACAGTACCGCCGAAACCGTAATTGCAAAGAAGGATGTAAAAATCCCTCCAAAGATTAAATAAAAAAGCCCATGAGTTCTCATGAGCAGACTGGGTCATTTAGACTGCTAGTGGGCTCAGGGTGGCTGTCTTTGATGGACGCTATCCGAAGGTCACTCTGAGTCAGGAGACATTGGTCCGTGAATTGGAGCAACACTACCTCAGGCAGCAACACTGATCTTTGGTTCTAAATAACTTCGTTTGGTGCAGGGACTAATGGATAAACTGTGCTAAATGAAGAAACAAAAAATGGCACAGGGCGAGCGCCGAGGCTCCAGGCGAGCTCCGATGCCCCAGTCGAAATTGGGAGGAAGCGAACTTGATCATAGTCGACGCCAACAAACTTCCGAGAGAAGCGGGTGTCTTGGTGTTCATATTGAGCTAGTTAGGAGAGGATAGTTAGGACACGTTTCAGTAAACAGTATTCTGCCTTGGGAGTGGAAAGGTGGCTCCTCCTCAGCACAAGGAGGAAAAAGAAAGCCAAATATCCGAAGACATATCCTTCAGGACACTGGAAGGAAGTATGTTCAAGGCCTATTAAAAGCTAGACATGGTCACCTTCAAGGTCCTAACATCAGCACTGATGTTGAGAGTAGTGCAAATAAACCTAAAGCATAGCAAAAGGTCTTCGGCAGTGCTTGCGAAGGTCATGGGGAAGTTTGATATTTGAAATCTGTTTAAAATCTGTTTTTCCGTTAACCAACTGTCGCACCCCTATGAACGACAATCCTCAGAAGTCGAAACTTGTGTCAGCTAAGGATTAACGAGGTCTTGCCTTTTAACGTGTGATTCCTAACATTCTCATACATACAAGAACCCGTCAACCAGGGAAGTGGAAGAGTTAGTGAGGACTTATATAGCTGATGAATCACATCTCATAATTGGTTGTTACTATAGTTTAATGTAGCAAATAATTTAGATATTTTAAACATAGGATATTGAACTACTTTTGTGAACATCAATTGACGTAACAATAAAAGTACTATAGCTAACTAAATTCGGAAATGGAATGTGTCACATTTCGTTCGTCACATACAATTTGAAATCAGAGGATACCATACCTCAATCGTATCGTTTCAAAACCCCTAGAGAACCAACTGGGAAGCCTAAAAGGCAGAAGGCTGTTTTTGTCTGGTCCTGATTGACGAAGGTTCCACCTATAAGAAAGTTATCGAAGTTCTTGAAAAGTTTACAAAAACATAACACGTGTTTCTCTATACAATAGCTTCTTCAGACATTTCTATATTAGGTTATGTAAGGTTAGGTCCAAAGTGAGTGGGTCTCTTCGACCCTCCACCGCAACCCGCAAGGTTTTATTGTGGCTCACACCTATTCACACTCGACCAAATAAACCCAGCTTCTTAACGAAGCCGATTAGTTGGTATATGGTAAGAGGTCTTTCAGGTCAGATGGTAAGAGTACGGCTCTACCGAACTCTAAAAACCTGATTCGGCCCCAGCGGGGCAGGCACAAAGTATGTGCACTGCTGTTTCATCATTTTCCAAACAGAGGCGACACACACTGTCTTCCGACAGTGACCTGTAAGAAGGCCTGTTAGACATCGTAGTCCAACAACTGTTTGGTATCAAGCTTCGAGGGATGAATAAACGCTTTGGAGAGAGCGAATCTTGGAAGATTCTGCCAGAAGTCCATAAATTTTCTTGCTATCCAGGTGTTCAGAGTTGAAAGACACGCCAGATGAAGCCATTGTATGGCGAAACACGTGTTGCGTTTTTGTAAAACAATTTAGTGAAAATCTCACAATAAAGTGTTTTTGGAATACGTTAGTTATGGATTTTCATCAAGTATCGGCCGATTCCATCATATATATGTTCAGTGTTTGTTTGGCAAAGCCTAAAGCGATGCGAATGACAGGTTCTGGTCCGATGAAGCTGCTTGCAACACTCTCCTTCGCAAGGGAGTCGACAGCCTCATTGCCTCCCAGGCCATTATGGCCAGGAATCCAGACCAGAGACAATCTGTTCAGTCTTCCTATCGGGGCGAGTCGTTTTTGGCAATTTGCTACCAATTTAGACGTTGTTCGGTAGGAGCAAGAGCTTCCAACGCCGCTTGACTGTCCGAGAATATTTTGGTTGGAGGTTGGATTCTTCCAATCTCTCCGCGCACAATTCAACAGCGTAATTTTCCGCTTGAAATACAGTCGCATAGGTCCCTAGGCAGGTTGATATCTCTGTCCGGGGTCTGCAACCGAAAACATCTGCACCAGAACCGGAGGGTGTTTTTGATCTATGTGTGTGAACTAACAACTATCTGCTCTTAATATTTCCTTCTTCCAGAGAATCCAATCTTCTCTACTCGGAAACAGTACTTTATAGGGCAGTTCGTAGTTGACAGTTTGAGGCATAAAGTTAAAGATAATTTCCAGAATGCTGTGACTTCCACTGTCAACCAACAGTCTATTGCACTCTGTAAATGGTGATGTTTACAAGTCTATATGCAGTCCATCTAGCGTCTCTCTCCAGAAAAAATGTGGAGAGGAGATAGATCTAGAAGGATATTCATGGCCGCTGACGGTGTGTACTGATGGCCAGACAAGCCTGTCTCTGTAAGCCAGAGAGCTTCGCCTGGGCCGTTTTCTGTAAAGCCTTCGGTCACCAGGCAATTGCACCATAAGTGATCATTGGTCTGACAATCATCACATAAATCCAATAGATTTTTTGGAACCTAAACCCCAAGTTTTACCACAAATCCTTCGGCATGTCCATAGGGACAGTCTGGCTTTGTGTAAAACTTTTTTTAAGTGAGCGTTCCAGGTGAGTTTTTTATCAAGGACAATGCAAGGATATTTCACCTCCGTTCCATTGAGGGAAAGTGGCGTTAGATCGTCCAATTTTCTCCTCCTGGTGAAGGGGATTATGACAGTTTTTCTGGGGTTGGCAGACATCTGCTCCCTCAGGCACCAACTGTGAACAACGTCCATGGTGCTTTGGAGGATATTACAAGCTACCCCTCCCGACGAGGACCTCGCCAAGTTGACAAGGTCATCTGTATAAGCTTGAAGATGTACTTTTTTTCTGTCGAGGGCATTAAGCAGACTATCCATCAGGAGCGACCATAGGAGGGGAGCTAGTGTACCCCACCTTGAGGGCAGCCTCTGGTGACCCTGAACCTAATGGCCTCGCTTTGAAGAGTTGTAGTTGCAGTGTTCTGTTTACCAGCATGGCATAGATCCAGCCAGTTATGGTCGATTCTATACCTTTCCTAGCCAGAGATAATCCTATAGATTTAGGTTGTGCAATGTCAAATGCTCCTTGAATATCGAGAAATACAGCAACCGCAATCTGCTTGTTGTCAAGGAATTGGGAAAGTTTCTCTACAAGGTTGTAAAATGCTAAATCTGTCGATTTGCCGGTTTGATAAGCATACTGGTGGTTATTCAGGGGGGAAGCATATAATGCCACCCTCCTGATGTATTCGTCCAGTATCCTCTAAAGTCTCTTTTAACAGAAAGGATGTAAGGCTGATTGGTCGTACCGATTTGGAGTGTGGGTCTTTCCGACCCACTGAAATCTACGTATTCAATGCTTTATACAGGGTGTAACTGAATAAGTGCAAAACATTTAAGGAGGTGATTCCTCATCAAAAAAAAGATAGGATCTTTCATATAAAGAAACTTCATTGGAGCATCCTTTGTTAAGATACACCCCCTTAAAGGAGGTACATAAAATTTGTATAAAATTTTTTTTCACAAGCACTGAAAAAGTTACAATATTGAAATTAACCTGACGTTTTGTACTACCAAAAAGACACTTAGCCAGTAATTTATTTAGTTTACCCCAAGGTTGTAAGGGGTGGAAAACGCAACCCCTAAAATTTATTTCCAATGTAACTTTTTGTCTTATCATTTGTTTACCATTTAAAAATTTATTTCCGATAGCCTGTTTCATTCTAAACAAAAAATGTCTCTTGGGTTTTTTGCCCAAAATAAACCAGTTCGCAGCAAAAAATTATTTTAAGGACAACTGCAATGATACATCGTCATAAATGCGAACTGAATTTATTGTTATTTTGTAGTTAGTACCTGCATTAAACGATTAAAGGGTAATAAACAAAACTAATTTATTAATAACAAAACACACAACATGTAGAAATCATAGTAAATGTTCAATATGTCTACCTTCAGACATTACGCATGCGTCTAGACATCGGCGCATTGAGCCACGTATTCGCTCAAATATTCCTGGAGCCTCTCTGATTACCCTGCACGCATCGATTATGATGTTTTTCAAATCCTCTACATCGCGAACAGGAGTATGATAAACCAAATGCTGTAAATGACCCCAAATAGGGAAATCAAGAGGATTGAGATCCGGGGATCGAGCGGGCCAGTTCTGTGGTCCTCCTCGACCTATCCACTGACTTGCATATGTTTCAGTTAATGCTGACGTGCTACTTGACTAAAATGGGCGGGAGCCCCATCATGTATAAAAATCATATCCCTTCTGACGCCCAAAGGAACGTATGCCTCACCATTTAATCGAGGAGGTAGAAAATGAGGCCTAATTAAATCATCCCCAATAACTCCGAGCTACACGTTAAGAGAAAACTGTTCTTGATGGTTAGTTTCGACAATAGCGTGAGGGTTTTCATCAGCACTTATGTGCTAATTATGAAAATTAATAATATTGTCCTGAGAAAAACTACATTCGTCTGTGAATTCTATCGTCTTCAGAAAGTCACAATTTTTTCTAATCATTTCCAGNTTCTATGCCCATGTTATTTTTTTCTTTGAGAAAATGGTCTCGTTTGGCCAATTTAAAATTTTGGGCAAGAACCATAAGTTTTGTCTTAATTATTTTTAATAAATTTCCTTTGATTATTATTTGTTCTGTAAGCCACGTCCAAGCCGTTCTTTTCCAAAAAACGAGCGATATTATTGGTGGGTTCACCAAGATATGACAATATTATGTAATGGCACTATTGTTCCTTGAAGTTGAGTAGACCTGTCCATGGCTTGTTTTCGTAGTTTTTTGGAAAGAATAGAATCGATAATATCTACCTTGTAACCGTTGTTGACAGTGATTTGTTTGATCAAACTCAGCTCTCTCTGGAAATTACTCTCAGACAATGGAATATTCGATAGTCTGTACAGCATACTATTGAATGAAGCTACTTCATGCTGGTAGGGATATATGGATGAATATATTTTGAAATATCACTATCATAGAGCGATTGGTTGTAGATTGAGTCATTGGAATGTGGGGTTTTGATGATATTATTACCTTTGCATCTTTAACCTCAGTAATGATTTTCTTAACCATGAACAGTTTCAGATTATTTGACCATAGCAACGTATAGAAGTAAACACTTACTTCTATACGGTAAGCATAGTATGTCTATATCATCCTTGAAGAAGCAATGCGAATTGGTTTCAACAGTTGATATAAGTTCATCATCACTTCCCCCAGGTTTAATGATAGATTGAACTAAATACTTTGAAGATCCAGTAGACATATACTACCAGTATTTTATGTTTGTTTGAATTCTTATTATCTTACCATCATCTTGTAAGCTTCTTTTTTTGTACAAAAAAATCTTTGTGTTCGACTTATGTATTTGGTAAACTTCATTATTTTACTGTTGATTGCGGGTACACTGCTGGCTGGAATCTGGTCTTGTTTCAGGCAGAAATATTCGAATTTCAGATTTCTTATTTTTTTAATACATTCTGGAAGTCGTTAGTTGACCAGGTTCCTCGGGATCTACCTCAATAAAAAACTGAATTGCGAAGAACATATCCATCATGTCTCAAAAAAAGTGGAACGTAAGAAGAATATTTTGCACCAAATACATATATCTGATTTCTTGGAAATGTTTTGAAAAGATTGTAAACGAAAAAAAATGCGAGAATTGATTTGTAGTGTATCTTCGTTGAAAAATTAATTTCTTTAATCTAGCAATTCCTGTTGAATATTATTCACAATAAGTAACTCATTGACCAATTGTCATATCTTTCAACAGTCGTTTATGAAAAAAACAAACAAATGTTTGCCCTTTATTTTTAAATTGGTGAGTGGCTCTCCTAGTTTGATATCAAGATGGAACAATTACAGTCTTTTAGCATTCTACTGTGGCACAACCATTCCAGTGAAATTGTGGAAACTTTTGTTGTCAATATTTGTCTAGTAACTGTTGAAACTCCCTCGATATTTAAAAAACAGTGAAAAACGTATTTTATTGCATTAGTCATATTATATTTCATCTTTGGAGAATTTTGAAATATGAATGAAATACGACAGTTTATTGACAACTATTGATGAAAATAGTTTTGACATTTGAGTATTATCAAGACTTACACTTACTGGGGTGGTTTCGCCGACTTTATATCAAGTTAGCAGAGAGCTACTGATTAAAAAAATTAAGAGCGATAGTTATTTTTCATTCATCAATGATTGTCGAAGGAGAACAACAATTGGTCAATAGTTTGCAAGTGGGTTATTGCAAAAAATAGTTAATGGTAAATATGCTGGACGAAAGATTTCTTTCCAAGGATCGCTTATTTCAAGGAAGATAAACTACAAATCAATTCTGATCTTGATATTTAAATATACATACCTATTGGGATGTATATGATGGAATTAGCTGATACTTGATGAAAATCCATAATTAACGTATTCAAAAAACACTTTGCGATATTTTCACTAAACAATTTAACAAAAACGCAACACGTGTTTCGCCATACAATGGCATCTTCGGGCGTGTCTTTACTCGCTTAAGCTATTTTATGGAGAAACATGTGTTGCATTTTTGTAAAACTGTTTAGTGAAAATCTCACAATTAAATATTTTTTGAATAGGTACTTTATTGGGATGATGTTACATTTTGCAAAATATTCTTACAACAGATGGTATGACAACAAAAACGATGATATCCAAAGAATTACGTTTCAAGGCTTCTGACTAGATTATTCGACAGTTAGACAAAAGTATTTCATTTTCATTTGCAAGATTAAATTGTACAAATGATTTACCTTTTTCATCTTCAGAGTAAATGCAGTTCCATCCAATTTCTCCTTCAGCATGAAAGCCCAAAAGAGGTACATCTGGGAAAATTTTGTTGAAAATTCTAGGTTCATCAGATGCATCTACTTTTGCAGAGCAGCATATGCGAATTGCTGCAGTGTAAGTTCTCAGTTTGATCTGCTCTTTGAACTAGAACATAAAAAACTATACTCAATACAAACAAATAAATAAGATCTTTGTTAATCTAGAATTTCTCCAACGAAGATTAAAACTTTTTTTTAGGCTTCATTACCTTAAGCACTTCTTCTGCAAACTCATCTTTTGACAAAGCATCTCCATGAATAACATGTGAAAAAGCATCAAAATTTGCAGTTGTGTTTTTGTCTTTCAGAAATGCTATACAAAAAATCTCATTAGTCGAATGAATCCTTTCTGTAGTACTGTTACGTTGAAATGTTTTGGTTGATTTTATTATTCCTCCTCCTAATGCCACTGAAGCAGCAGTATCTCTGAAACGAATTTCAATTGAAAAACTTTACCTAGGCTGAAAAGAAAAATCCATTCTTGTATTCTGTTGAAAAAAATACAGAAACTTACAATCTACAACATGCACAGTGAGTACAGGTTCAGATTATAATTTTCTGCAAAGATGTACAGATAATAATTATTTGATTGCTCATATCCACTAACACATCTGTATGTCTTTGTAGTTATGATAGCCTAAAACTATACTGTTTAAAAAGCAACACTGACAACCACGTTTAAATAGAGATAGTTTTGAAGTACTTTTATCTCAGACGGTACCATACATTCCATTATCTTACTAACAAAGTACAGTCCTGCAATTTTTTTGTGAACAATCATAAGAACCTGCATACCACAGCCAAAAACCCCGAAAAACGGCTTTCACACAAAACTTTATTGTTTTATATAAATAGGTTTTTAGTGATCAGAAATTACCTGAGATTATTTTCTGACAACACCAACTTGGTTGGTGAAACGGAAGTTGAGAAAAGTGTTACAGTTCTAGTGTGTGGGAGAAGTTTTTTTTGATGGAAAAATGTATCACACAACCCAAATAGCCAAGCATCTCCAAAAGATACTATTCAACAAAAAGCCGTAAAATGGAAACAATAATAAAATGCACTCACTCAGGTACAATGTATTTCAGTAACTTGTATAGAGTCCTCCTCTGATCAGTAGTTGAGAATAAAATCAAACATTTCGCTTCATCATTTGGTTCCTTGTACGCGGTGAGGAGCCTCTCAATATCGTCTTTAATTGGATTGCAATGAAACATTGTCATTTTGATATTTTCAATTTTAGGAAGAAATAAACCATCCAATATCGAAGCTAGTCCGATATCCCTTAACTCCATGCTCTTACAACTGAAGTATGATACCACTTTCGGACATGAGATTGCACAATAGTCTACATTTTTTGGAATTAACTCATCTTCTAAATATTGTGGAACTGAAACTAATATTTGAGAAATTATGAGATGATTTTTCATTGTAGGATAATATTTTGCCCTGCACATAACTGAGGGTTGATAAAAAACCAAAGGGAGAATATATCAGCAACCACAAAGTAAGCCTTAGTGGGCTTTAAATGAACACATTCCTGGTTTCAAGGATGGTGTGAAAAACAATGCAAAAAATTATAAATTTCCCAAAGGGAAATCCAACATTAATATATTTTGAGCAGTATTGATCATTATATTCTTACCTGACGTTTTATTCAATTCGGTTATATCAGAATGAATACATATATATTTGTTGAGCTTGATTCTTCTGAAATCATATAGAATTATTCCCAGACCAACATTGTTATAATTCAGGTTAGGGCTGTAGTGGTCTTGATGAGAATTTGGTAATGTGTTTGTTTTGTAGCATGTGAACCAACTGGGCTTTATTCTCCTTCTCAAAACTGTTTCTGCTGTTTCTTTCCAAGACTTTTTCACTTGAGAACATATTTTCAACTCATTATAGTTCAAATAGCTGAAAACAATTTCTAAAAGTGGATAGATGGACTCCAGAGATGAAAAAAAATTAAAATTTTTAGTTGGTGGTATCCTCGTAACTGGAACGTTTTGTTTGATTAACCTCTAATTTAAGGAAATTATAGGACAAAAATATGTACACCTGAGTTATATGGTTACAACAACATTCAATCACATTTCTATTAGTCTACTGATTTACTGAAATTTGAATACTTATTTTTAATGTTTGATTGCATTTATAACTCGCGTCTACAATACTACAAACAGTATAATATGCGCTCCGCACTGTCTGCACATGAGTACATGGTGATTCTGGTGATAGAATAGACGATTATACGGTGACGATAGTGACAGAAGTGGTCATAATTGGAACCCAGAACCAGAGAACAGAACTCTGTAGAACTCAGAGTTCTTATAGGTTATATTTATGACATTGTATACAATGTCATTGTATACAATGCTTATGACTCAGAATTTAAACTCACTCACACTTATCTCTCTCTCTCTATCTCAGGACCATTCATGAAGATCAAAGCGTAAATTAGCGTAAAATAAAACTGTAAGGATGTTTAATTTCAAGAGGAAAATTCACCATAGAACAGACATAAAATCCTATCACCCATTTTTCAATACTTTTATCAGTTGCTTTAGTACATATAGCTCCTAACAAAATACCCATTGAAGTTGAACAATGTTAATAACAATCACATTTATACTAAATTTTCGAATCTTCATATACATCCCACAAGGAAATTTCAGTTGCCTCCAGGTTTTCATTCACAAACACGCCACAGAGCAATAGAGTGCATGACGTGAACTGATACTGTATAAATAAACCTCAAGTTTCATTTTAAACGGTCTATACATGCAGAATATTGGAGGTTGTGCAATAAAATTGAACTTTTGTTTTTGGTATTGAAAGGTTGTGAGATGTATTGTATGAAATCAAATCCTTTTGAAATGTATTGCCCCATATGGAAATTATTGTGACATCAGGGAGCAATAAGATAAGATAATTTATTGATCTTTTAGATGTATACAAATAAGATAGGTAACATATACACACATACATTATTACCCAAGAATGAATATTACACTGTTTCCCTGTTTATTTGTGTTTCTTTGGATGAGACAGCTATATACTCATCAATAGAGTAAATACAATTTGAAATCAATAGATATTTTAGATAATTTTTGAACAAGTATTCATTGAACTTTTTGACGTGGGGTGGTTAGAATATTGTATAAGTTGACATCGATAGGGTTTCTGCTTGACTTTTTCAGTCTGAATCTACTGGCCCCTCAACAAATCACATCCTCTAGACTCATGATCGTGAAAATCACAATTTCTGTTTAATGTTGATTCATTTTTATATCTATCAAAAGTTGATACAGATAAGTAGAAGGTACTGTCATTATTTTCATCGAAAGGAAATGAGGTCTACAGGAGTCTAAGAAACCATCCCCAGATAATATCCTTATGGCCTTTTTTTGTAACATAAATATCCTATTTGCGTTAGTACTATTTCCCCAGAGAATTGTTCCATATGAGATGTGAGAATGGAAAAAAGCGTAGTAAGCTGATATTAGCGCCTGTTGAGAGATTATATCTTCCAATTTCCAAAGAAGAAATGATTTCAATAGTTTAATGCTAAGTTGTTCAATGTGCTCTAACCAGTTCAAATTATCATCTAGATGTATGCCTAAGAAATTAACACTGTGTTCTTCAACCCAAGAGGTGTTTGATGTAAAAATGATATGTTGAGTTTTATTTTCTAACATTAGATTATTTCTTTTGAACCATATGTCAGCCACATATGCACATTTGACGCATTTTATGGCCGTTTTAGTATGAAGTATAAAAACTGGATGAACACTTCATTTCACCATTTTTTTATGTTTACCATGGACTTCAGACCGCTGGCAAATGTTATACAAATGTGTTAGACAACGAGAACAATATGACATGCTATGAGTGAGAAATAACGTGAAGAACATTTGGATGCCGTCAAATAATATCCAAAATAATTAATACGGTATCAAGTCTCACTGAATTAATAATAATGTACGTTTTTGCTCTTCTTCACCCATAATATTTCACAACAATCAGTATCTTTTCAAATTACTCAATTTTTTGTACAGTTCTTATTATCGCAATAATGTTGAGCGCCTAAAGGCAGCCATCAACAATAATATTGAACGTCTATAGGCAGCCATCAAAACATTGTGTGATAAATATTGCGAATAATATTGTCCATCTATGAGTCACTTTAGATTTCGAAAACTTATGTTGAATTTGGTTTGGCTTTCAGAAGTGATATTGAACTTATTTATTGAATCCTATATGTATTGTATCTCCCAGTGTTTTACGTCAAGATGAAATCAGATTTATTGTCATGTCCCAGGCAACAGGTTCCTAATAACTATAAGAAACAATAATATATTAGATAGTTCCAGTATAAAAAGTTTCCCAGTAAACATTTTTTCCGTTTGTCAAGCCGCTTTACATTTGGGCAATAAAATCAAAGGAACTTGCATGCGCCAAAAATGATCGTTTTAAATTATAGTAATTCATTTTTCAGCTGTCATCCATTGCCAGCATAAGAAAATATTGAGCAAGAAATATGGTAATGTATTTATTTCATATTAATAAATTATGTTGAATTCTGTCACCTTTTATTACACTTGGTGAAAAGTGGAATGTTGGGTCACATTGAAAATCACCAATCCAATTCAAAGGATGTTCTATTTGCTTGCAATAGCCTAAAAATTGCATCAGCCGATTGTTTCCATGAGCTTTGTGCAGGCGCAGAATTGCATGTTGCATAAAGAAAATTGCATAAATCTGAAGCGGCCTTTAGAGTAACTAACTATGTAATGACAGATATAGCTCACATAACAAGTGAATGCAACAAAACACAAGTTGCTGTGATCTAAGAGGCTCAGAACTTAATTTCCCAAAAACAAAAAAAATTTAAATGTTCAATTAAGTAAATCAACAAATGTGTCATGATAATTTGTTGTGAACTTAATTGAAGCATACAGTAAAAAAAAAGTACACTGAGTCGACTGATTATGGTATTTTTGAGGGGTGATATACTGCTGTAAATATAACATTTTTGTTTTTGAGAAAAGAGGTCTCATCCAGATCCGGGCAGCTCCCGGAACATAGCATATTAGGCTGTCATTCGAAATAATTGCTAACAATGAATGTTTACTGGTTATTGCACAGTGGCATCAGTCATAAGTAAATGCATTTTTCCTGTCCAATCCGACACTGATTACAACAGACTGATTGGAATAACTCACAACTAAGACATTTTATTCACAGAAATACTTTTATAAAATAGTAGATTAATAGAAAATTATCACTTTCCTTCATTCATACAAGCTGAGCTTTACTAAGTTATATATGACCTCAGAGTCTGATCATGTGGTAATCACAGATATTCACTTGCAATGGCAGTTTCCTAACTCTCACTATACGGGGGGAGAACTAAAGTTCGAGACATATAACTATCAGGATACATTTCCGGAGGTTCCAAGTGACAAACCACCGTTTCACCATCTAATACAGCTGCCAAAGATCGCACCGAGGCATCACCAGCCATTCCCACTCTGTACGCCATGTTACGTCTTCGATAAGAATCCATGTTGCTGTTGCAGTGATTCAAGTCTTTGGCATAGAGCTTCATGGTTTCAGCAAAACTCCTGTCGTTTCCAGGGCTGTAAGGAATCAATGGTCGGTGGTCTCCGTAGGACCGGGAGGATTGTCTGCTCATGTCGCTCTGCCTTTTTCCATCTTCGTCGCTCATGTCTGATACTTGTATTTCGTTTCTGTCAATTTCTTCGTAAACAGGATCATCTTCCAACCCTCTAGGGGATTGTGCGTCATAGATTTCCGTATACGTATGGTGACTCCACTGTGTGGGTCTAAGACTGCCAGTGTTTTTTTTACTGGTTCCATGGAAATTATTCGTTGGTAGAGCCAGGTGCTTGGGATGCACATTTGGCTCGAGACGGATGTCGAAATCAGAGAAGTCCTTGTGCCCCTCCTGGGCTATTTGATGGCGCATGTCTTTGATATTCAGATTAAGATGATGTCCGGGGTCTGTAATAACCATTTGCGATCTTGGTGAGTCTTCTTGTTCTGATCCTCCATGGCCCGAGTCCCGACTACATGACTTAAAAGAAATGTTCTGAAACAAAATCAAATAGGTCAGATATTGGGTTTATGTGACTGCTGTTTGTTAGGCTACTACTAAGTTTTCTGGTCAACTAGTAAGAGAAATACGTGTTAGGGATTGTGTAATATTTCATTTTTGTCATCATTGAGATTATTTACTTAGTTTTGATTGCATCAGGAACTGAAACAAACTGCCAGATGATGGTCAAAAAAGCAACTTTTGAACTCATCTATTTTCAATATGAAAATAATATCTACTAAATAAAAATTGATCATAACAACTCTCCATATTATGGGATCTCTATGGGGTTGAGCTTCGACTAATGAATGATGAATTCACTGTAAGCAGCCAAATGAGTTGAAAAAACATAAAAAACAAAGAAAGTGATGTTCCATTTAGTGGTTAAAGTCAAAGTTTGGCCTTATAACAAAAGGCTATTGGGGAACCTCAATTATCTCAAATGCATTCATGACCCTTGCTAGAAATCGGACGTTAAGAGGTACGACCTCGTTAATCCTTGACTCGCACAAGTTTCTGAGAGTTCTCGTTCTTGGGGTGGTGACAGCTAGTTGAAGGAAAAACATATTTTTCTTCAAGACTTAGTCAAACACGACTGATAAGAACAGATGATGGAATACGAATGCACAGCTTTTGTGTTCTGCTTTCATTTCACCCAATTACCAGTCTTTCTTTTTGGTTACTCCTGAAATTAAACTTTGATTTTTATTTGGAAGTTACAAGTCTACAAATTTTACTCAAACAAAAGTTGTTAACTTACATCTCATAGTGAAATTATATAGGGATACAATTTCTGGAAAGTGAAGATAAATCGAATATTTGTATTCATTATTTTCCAAAGTTCCATTTTATGTAAATTGGATAAAAAAAATCCATATGTTGCCGACTTCAATGATGTCAATGTATATGTAATCAGCAAAGACATTTCAATAAGACAACTATCAATCATAAAGCCCATCAGGAAGAAAAAACCAACCAGTTCCAATATAAATATGACTTCAGTGAGAAACATATCAAAATTGTTCACTGCAGTCAGGTTCGATGACAGTAATGAAATAGTACCAACCAATAGAGTTATTCATTCACCGGCAATGAAAAATAAGAAAGAAGCAACGCAACTACGCACCTTAGAGTGAAAAGGTTTTTGTAGAGGACCCCAGGTAGAAACCGATTTAGGTATATTAGGGTTGTTAGAGTTTTTATAGAAATTACGAATGTAAGGAAGTGTAGAAGTATTGGATTCCATCATATCAGGAGAGGGATGTGTAGGTGTGCCTCGGATTGGTCGAGACAGAGTAACAGCCATGTTGGCCGAAGTAGATGTGGGCACAGGGGTTTTGGACACTCGATTGACGTTGGTGCAACTCCGGGAGTTCCAGTCGCGCTGCAACTGAAACAAAATTCACCTTCACCTTCAATTTGTTAAGGAAGCAGAAGCATTAGTAAAGTCTTACCACACCAGTTACAGAGGACATGCCAAGGGGGTACAATGCACGCACCACCACAACACGACAGTTAGTAAGCAGCTCTAAGAATTTACTTGTAACTAGAGGCCATCTAGTCAAGTTACAACTCGCGAAGGTAAAGCCTTGGAAGAATGGGTATGATGTGTCATATGAAGAAATTTTCAACTAACCAATCTCTTATAATTTTTTTAAATGCGATTGAACCATTTTCAGTTCATTTACTTAGCCTCGGGAACATTTATAGTTATGTGATGAAGCAAAAAAATATCAGCAATCTGAAATCTCAAAAAAACCAAAGTGTACATGGCTTTCACCAAATCTTCGTTTTTACTGATAGACCACACTTTTGTATTTATAATTTTATTTAATTTGTGATTTCTGATTTACATATAATGATAAAATTGTCGAATTAAAATTCTGTAAAAACCATCTTGTATACCCAAAAACTCGCAATGAGATGTTTTTGTTTTTAAATATCTTCTTAAATAAGGTCAGAAGAAAATTGAAACGAGATTGGCGAATTTGAATTCATTTCGAATACTCTCGGAATTTCCTGGATTTTAAAACGTCATTCAAATGAGCTCTAAAATGAGAAACTTCTTCATAAACATAAACTTCGTATCTCTCTCGGTTCCCATACACATCATCTAATGTGTTTCCAGTTCACAAATGATACTGAACAACCACAAATACCCAATCTTACAAAGCAATCCGCAACCTTAGAGTCTATAAAAAGACCCTTTTGTAGCTCAAAGGACTTGAGGAACCATTACCACAAAATCACCTGACTCAAAACAGAAAGACTTTTCAAAGTAACTTCGAAATAGATGAAGAACTTGACAGACTTGAACACAGCAGCGTCACATAGTGCTTGGGGGATGGGTAACGAAATGTTAGAAGATAAGCAAAAAAGAATTATTGAAGTAAAGACAAAACGAGCTGCACAAAAGTATTTCTCAGTATGTAGTACCTTGTTGCGACACATTATGCAGTCGATTATGGTTGGTCATGGTGGTACTAGCATTGTTGAGATCAGTTCTAGACAGAATCTGGACTAGCGCAGTAGGTCGCGCATTATTAAGGTTATTGGAGATGACAATACTGTTGGTACCCACACTAGTTCCATGCGATGTAAGAACAGAGTTATCGGTGGAATGGGAGTTTGTGCCGCCTGATGGGTTTCCGTTCGATCCGCCATAGAGACTCGTTCGCCTCTCTTTCGCCATCCCAGAACTGCCACTGCTGCTTCCAGGTCCAGCGCTGGGGTTGGAGCAACGCAAACATTTTGGTAGCCAGGAGTGTCTTCTTATGAATTTGCGATATTCCTTCCGTACCTGGGGAGGAACGAACAAATAAAAAGGTGCTATAAATAAACGTATAACTAACTCAAAATGGAAGTAGATCGAGACCCAAAGAAAACAACTGGTTAATATAATGAAAAGGAAAAATGTGAAATGGATGTGTTCGTTGGGTCACAATATAAGGAAACAAAAATCTGTACTGTGCTGATATAAAACAAAAAATATATGAAAATAGTAGTAAGTAAACTTGAAGGTGTGGAGTGTTTTGTGGGAAAATAATAAATAAATAATCAAAGATCTAGAAGTCATACTGAATGTGTATAATCGATCCTGATTGAAGTTGGTCAATGTTTGTTTGATTTTTATATCATTTTAATTAGGTGTAATTGATTTTTCGAAAAGATTTTGATTGTATTTTCTTTCATACTTTTGAAAGATTCTCCCAAATACTAATTGGGAAAAATATTTTTCCAAATATCTCTAATACAACTAGACATTTTACTACCATTAAATTGGGAGGATCATTTTAGAAAAAAGTTGTTTTCAAACAACCCACAATATGTACTAAGAATGATCATCAAAAAACTCAATAACAGACTAAAAATTACTGATGATAATTTGGTTGTGGTTAAAACTACATGATAAACAATTTATTTTCAAATGGCATTGCTTAGAAGATATTTTTACTTAAGAAACAGAAGCTTACATTTATTATAATTGATATTTAGATCATAGGAAATCATAAAAGATAACAGAGTTTGTAATCTGAAATTTGAAGTTAGACTCTGAAAATTTTTTTCATTTTTCAATCGGTAGATTTCTGTTAATCACTTATCTAATAAGCTAGACTAAACTATTCAGAACATATAATTAAGTGACAACCATCTTAATCAATTCTTTATTTTCAATTCTTTACAATAATATATACAGTTTTGGAATACACCTAATAAATCTACTTCTATAGGTCTATATTGAATGACGATTATGTTACAATGATCCTAAATAGTAGTAGAGGCGTCAAATCAACTAACAAATTTACATTCAATCCATTGATATGCATAACAGTTTGTTTTTTTACTAGCATAAACAGAACAAGATGAAATGAAACAGTTGATATGATATATAGCTGTATACTCTGGAAAGTATCCAGTTAACACATTTGTAAGGGTAAAGTTACCCCTATATATCATATTTATCAGTCCTTGGTAATGTTTTTTATAAATAACTAACCATCAAGTATACAAACATTTTTTATGTACAAAGTTTCATATAATTCAGACAACCCCTGTTTTTTTGACATCAAATCAAATATTCATCTTGGTCAACAATCCCAAAAATTGAAAATCCATGACCTTATTTATTACTCGAAAATAATACGAGTTCTCTGAAAATATATGAGAATTCTGAATAAAAGTGATATTGCATAATGATTACTCAAAATTTATTTGTTATGTAATGAATATTCAGATAGATATAAGACGACTTGATACTTGAGGATACTAACTATTCAATGCTACTAATATGACATGAACTCAAGAATATAAAAATTTCAGATAATAATGATTATAGATAATTAAAAAATTGTATTCTAAATTTTAATATCCTAGGCACTTGAATGCTGTAGGCGTTTATTGATCAATGAACGAATAGTAATTAGGAGGAAGTGTTAACTGAGCACGATATGTTATATCACACCTCACAGTAGAGTCGAAGTCTGCTTATAAGCACAACATCTTACCTTTTCATTCTGTATACAATGGAATAAGAATATAAAAAATCCTTGCAGTGAATTCAGGGCAGCGAACAGATATGCCATGGCAACTGATTCTCTGTTGAGGTATAGGAATCCGAATGTCCAAGTCAGGCCTAAGAGAAATACAAGAACGAATGCTCCCTTCAACCATGCCCTACAAAAAAAATAAATTCATATTCAGTTATCGTTAAACACATTGTACTCGCAATAAAATCCACCAACAGTTTTTTTAATTAGGGTTAGTTAAGAACTGTTGAAATGATTTCAGTTATACCACATGCCATGGATCAAATTGAATGAAATGAATGATTGGTAGAAAGACACAATCAACTGTTTACATGTTTCAAAGTGAATTGACGGCTTGTGTCAAATGCAGATTTGTTAAAATAAATAATCTGAAAGAATATTATGTGAACTCCTTTTTCAACTTGTTACAGGATGTCACTTGGACCTAGCGAAACAAAAAATAAAACTTTTTAGTAATAGTTACTTTAAGAAGCATTTTCCATACAGATGTCAAATCTTGCAATTTGAATGGTTTCAAACCTCTTCTTTTTTTTAATCTAAAAGTTTTTAAACCCGTACTAACTACACCGTGCAGCAGACGATAGAATACCCCTTCTGGTTGAGGTGTCACCCTACCAACCCCTACCTTATTAGAAATGATATCTTCCAAAACTGGTTTCTTCAAAAGATGCCAAACTGTCAACTTAAATGCTTCGATACTACATTTACATTTCAAAATTTTTCTCTTAAATCAAAAGTTGGTCAATTGACTAACTATATAACAAACATTAGGTCACCCACCTTTTGTTTCTAGTTGACAAAAAAACTTCGAAGATAAAAGTAGATGGGTTAGGGGCCGTTCAAGTAAGTAAGCACATTTATTACAATTATTAACCCCCCACCCATCCCCCTTGTCAGCAAAAGTAAGCAAAGCTCTTACCCCCCTTTCCATGCTCATGTAAACATTGTTATACGCAGTAACAATATACTGACGGAAGAAATGAAGACGAGTGAATAGCGCGCTGTAATTCCCCTACTCGGTTCTAAGCGAGTACCTAAACGTAAATATTATTTTTGGGAATCCCCAAATATGATTTTGGTTTTCAAACATAGACAATGTGTGGGTTGCCATATGTGTAAAAAATAAATAACCACTGCTAATGTAATCACCATCTAGACCCCCCGCCCCCATGTCATCAAAAATAAGCAAAGCAAAGACCCTCCCGCCCTCCTATAGTGCTTACGTAATACTTGAACGGCCCCTTAAACGTGTTCACATTTAATCAAAGTAAGTACTATTCAACTGCAGATTTAACTTCTTTGTCATTATTACATTTGAAGTTACCAGTACTAGTTTTATATTAAATAAATGCATATAACATTTCATTGAGACATACTGTGTAGTAAGTAGCAAATTGTGTGGTAACGTTTAAAATTTAGAAAAAGTTGACTTCAAAACGACTTTTCAATACAAATTAGTGTAACTGTGAAACTAATGCATTAACATCTGCCTTTGAAATAATAAACTGTCAGTTTGTATTCTATTGCTAGCATTTTTTAATATGATAGCTAAGTGAAGCATGCATAGAATTGAGAAATCATGCATTCAGTGATTGTATGGTAGATGAGTAAGAAAGACAGAGATAAAATTCTTACAAGTGAGCTTGAAATTTCATTTGAAGTGCATTTTCCTCCTTTCCACTACCATAGGATAAGATCGCCATGCAAGAGAGAGAAATTATATTAGAATCAATACACCACACCAAGAATATAGCCGATTCGAGTGATTTTCAAGCCATTCAGGTGTCAATCCATATGATCTGTCAAAAACGTGAAAATTCAACTGATCAGATGTCTGAGACACTGATATACCTGGAGTGCCACGACATGCATGTTACGTATATGTTATGTTGATAATTATTCCCGCAGAAACATTAGATATTTTGAAATGAGTGGCATTTTCAAAAAAGTTATGACATTGATTTTGATATAATTATCAATCACTCGAATTTGCTTAATAAGTTATTCATATACCTGAAAAAGTACCATACCAAAACATTTCTATAACTATATCTACAGTGCTAGTGCAACATTAAAAGTGTCTAATCAAGAGAAAAAATATTTTCATTTATCTCATCAAAGTGGAATGCTGATCAAAACATATCTTACAATATCAACAGGAATTTCATGCTTGTCTGAATTGAATTGCCATGATATGGTTGAACATTAGAGATTAAATTACATATTGTGAGTTTCCATAACTATGAAATACAATCAATAATAAGAGAAGTATGGTTATAACATAATTCTCTTCAACTTTATAAAAAAATCATGAATGTAATTGCACTTCATTCACAACTTTAATAGCAATGCTTGTTTCATTTGTTTTGTAATTTCAATCGATAATTATACCCACGGGCTCTGCAATTACCTAGTCTTTCATTCCTCAAAGCCATCCGTGTTACTGAACAATTCCACCTTGACGCAATTATAGGAAAAATCAATAATTTTTTCATCATGTTACGTGACATATCCACATGCAGAATGAAACAAAATATTCGTGTTCAATTTCAGGGCTTTATTTTTATATTTCAAAAATATTAGTCGAAAGTGTTATTAATTGTCTTTTTAGGACAAATTAATTTCAACATCACAGTCTTTGATACAGGTACCAAACACGCATATTTTGTCTTTTCCAGTTCTCACAAAAGTTATCAAATACAATAAAAAGGAATTTGAAAATTCAACACAATCTAGCAATAACTGTTATCAAAAAATTTTACTTTCACCAGCTCAGTCATTAAAGTACAGAATATAACGAATAACAGAATATTTCACACAAAATGTACTGCAACTCACCTGGTACTAGCAAGTCTAGAATGTTCCTTATTTTTCATTGAAACAGTATTGCTTGCATGTCTGCACATCATTACTATTGCCATTATCAGGAAGATAACATTCAACTGTAAAAATGTAAATATTAGAATAACTTGAATTTTTGCATTTTCAGTATATTTTTCAATATCATGAATATAATTTACTTACCGATATTATAACAATCACAGGTCCAACAAAACTATAGATGAAATAATTGTCTGTCTGTAGCCAACAGTGCCTCTGAGTACCATATCCCTGAGGATAAATGGTGACAGAGATAAAAAGGATGAGAAAGGGAATACCATATGCGAAAAAGTAGTACCAACGTACTCTGGATTTTTCTGCTTCAAAAACTTCGATGAGCATTACGTAAAGTTGAAAACCTGGAAAAAATTAATGAATCATTTAGTTAGTGGTAGTGATTGGATAGTTAGAACAAACTTTGATGACAAAGATGTCAATGCATATTCACAATTCATGTCTTTTCCCTCCGAAATATTCAAAACGTCTTTACAATGCTACGTGCTGTTAGACATTCAAAATGTGTTGACCGATTCGCATCTAAGAGAAGATAAATGAATGAAGTATCGAAAATACTATGACCAAAATTGTCTGATGAGTCAGTAAAAAAAAAACATGCATCCCCCATAATTACTGCACAGAACGTGCTCATTCACTGAGAATATATGCTCACACCTTATTAAAATTGACTGATTTTTTAAAAAACTCCAAATCGAACAAAATACGATATGTAAATTCTGAGACGTTTTTCATGGAAAAATGTTTTTATAGTGTATGTGATTTTTTGTTTCAGGGATTTCAAATCATTTTATATAATAGACAATGGAAGTCCGAATTAGTGAAATTCAAACAATACAGTGTAAAATCTGAGAGTATATGGAAGTAGGAAAACATATTATTGTGACCTGAAAGGAATATTTTACAACTGTAAAAATAAAATTCTCTATCTGAAGGTTAAAAAGTCTAGTCATTAAAATATTTATCCAAAGACAGGGCATAACTGAGAATATTTTACTTCTTTTCTGAATTGTGTTTTTATATTTATTATTTCAATACATTACCTATGGTTCAATTTTACATCATGTCACAAAGTTATTTTAAAATACGCTGAACTCAATCAGTCCAACAAAAAGGAAAAAACCCTTTTTTTTGCAAGGTCTATTGAGCACTAATGCAAGTTCATAGGCATATTATTTCATCAACATTTTGTTCAGGCAATGGAGGTTCAAAACTCTAACAGTCACATTTCAAAAGATGTACACTGAATTGACTACAATCTTATGAACAGGTATACATTTTATGATTCAGATAAATTCTAGACATCTTTCTAGTCGTGAATATACATTGTACAGCTGCCGGACTGAGTCATGGCCGGTGAAAAGCCCCTCCCTCCGAATTTGCCTCTACATAAACTGCTTTTTATATTTTTACAAGATCCCAAATGGTATTATAATATCCATTTATTGTTTACCCCTCAATCCGTACTACGTAAAATTGCAAACAAAATATTCTATTCTTTTTTTCCTAATACTTTCTTTGTCATATACCGACCCAAACTTTACGCAGATACGATTTCTTCCACCAGCCATGACTCAGTCTGTTAGCTGTAATTATAGGAGTACCAAAAACAGGATTACCAGTTAACAGTTTTATTGAAAATCATCTTGATGAACTTACCCTCGAAAAACATCCAGATGAATGCACATAAAAAGAAATATTGTAAAAATCCAGCAATAACACCACACACAATTCTGTTATCGGTCTGGCCAATTCCTAGTAAGAAAATGACTTCTGCTATGAGAAGACAAGCACACAAATTACAATGGATTGTTGTTCTATTTAATTCTTCTCTTTTAGGTGTCTCAGGGATTTCAAATCATTTTATATATTTGACAATGGAAGTATAAACTAGTGAAATTCTTCATGAAACATTGTCAGTCACCTTCAAACAAGTGACCATTGATATTTTCCGATTCCGGAGAGGGAGCCAAAGGAGGGTTACAAATAAGGCAGCAGGGGCGCGTGTTAATAAAAAAAATACTTTTTTCAAATGAAGAAATACATGTGAGATCGTGTGTGTGAAGGAATTATGTATGATAATGTCTGTGTACAACACACCCTTACCAATATAAAGTTGCTGCATTCAATAGTATGCTTCACAGATTATTGAATATTCCACTGTCTGATAGGGAGTTCCAGAAAGAGGTGAATTTGATCAAACAAATTGCGGTTAATAACGGGTACAAAGTAGATATTATAAACGCTATTCTTACGAAAAAACTTCAAAAGCAAGCCATGGACTTGGTCTACCCATATTCAAGTTGACAAGCTTATGCATACTGGTTGTAGCAGTACTTTTTAATGAGATGAGTTTGTTAGAAATGTCATTTAAACACTATAAAGAAACTTATTTCATTATCGCTTCAAGGAATAATATTTTTTTCTCGTCACATCCAAAAAAAAATTAGGTATCTGTTATCTCACCTTGAGCCCTCGAAACAGCTGAAACGTGATAATCGCCAGCACCAAGCAAATGATGGATATGATGCAGCCAATGTAGGTTATAATCTGCAGAGCTATCTCATGCGCTATCGGCAAATATACAGCATGAACGTCCATGAGTATGGCGAAGTTTGTCAAGTGATCACAGTAGCAAACTGTATGAGTCAAATTCGAGAGCGTCACCTCTACATAGCACCCCTCTTCAGACCAAGCGTTGGTTGTGTAATCCCAAAAAACACACGTTGGATTGCTAACATTTTCAGTCTTCAAGTGTTGTAGAGTCAACTGAACTGGTTCCTTCAGTTGGATATGTCTTCCTTTGCCCAAACTGGCAGATATGACTTTGCTGTTCAGCACTTTTGTAACGTTGTTAGAATTGTTCGATTCGGTGGAGTCTGACTGCCATTTCAGGATTTCCTCCAGGCGATCAAAGGCAATGAAGACTAGTCTCACGAAGGAGCCATCACTGTTATCTATCAGTGATCCTTGGGGTAGCTCTATGGTGTCATTGCTTGCGACCCAGCTCCTGGCGTGATTCTCAGATGGGAATTTTTCAGACACAACAGATTTCAAGTCCACAACTCTCACCGAAAGCACTGGAAAAATAATTGTAAAAACATTATTAAATTGCGTTTTATTACCATGTTTAATATGGAGATTTATGTTAATAATGTTAACTCTAGACAATTCTGTGAACTAAATTTTTAAAAATTATCAGTTGCGAATGGTTCATACACAATTTTCTCACATTTCTTTATTGCTGGATACAAACATATTTGATTTCAAGATGAACATTCACGTTTTGACAAAATCTACCTATTTCCAATATTTCGAAAAGGCGTTAGGTGAAGTTTTTATTAATCAATTGTGTATAAATTTTTTTTTTCACATTTACTATAATAGTTAATTCCATTACAGGAGTTTTTGATAAAGTCTACTTGGAATATTCTGCAGGGTGTAT